TAATATAATTCAATATAATTCAGATTGTGCACCATTTTTTTGTTTGTATTTGGTAGAACAACCTTTGATTAATAATACATTTTTTACCTCATTATTAGACTTGATTAACTCTTATTATTTAGTAGTAATTCATTTTGGTTTTTTTTTTTTTTGCCAATATTTAATTTAAGTAGTATTGTGATAAATTTCTTTTCAGACAAATAATAAATAAACTTAACGTTCAAGTTGCATAACAGTGGATTAAAGAATGAAAATCTATTGTTTCTTTTACGAATCTAACTGTGTTTAATTGAAATAGGATGCTATTTCTGTTGGAGGGAACAACTTAATTGACGCAAGCTTTCAGCTTTCAGAATGTTCGACTCTAATTCTTTCAGTTTCGACAGTCTCCCTGTATTTCCCAATTTTAATATTGTCCCAAAAATGGCCTAACCATATACTATTAGCTAGTCCACTACTTTCAATTGAGGAGTTCACATGTTGTTTCATTGCCATCAAGAAACCACACATTACAAAAGATTCATCTCATGTCTTTTCCAATAATTTCAGGAATCTAGAGCAGTAGTATTGATGAATCTTGTTTTCTTCTCACTATTTTTCTTCTCTTTTTCACTTGTTTTTTTGTTCTCTTAACTATACCCAACAATTTCAAGCAACAAGTGGGGGAGGGGGCCTATTGTAAACATGACGCTCATAAATCAAGCTTTTCATATGGGGTTCACAATAAAGGAAGGTGAGACATTTGAACATTTCAATTTACTTAAAAAATGTAAAACTATTCCAGCATAATTCCACAATTTTTATATAAAAGAAATCCACTTACATACAATACTTTCTTACACAAATATTAAGTGGTAATAATTATAATTAAATATTTTTAATTAATAAAATATAAAAATTTATATACATTTATTTAATTAATATCATGCAAAAATTAAACATTGAATTAAATTTTTGTAATATGGAGTGGACAGTATTAGACTGCTGCAAAGATCTTATCTTTTGTTGGAAGCTTGTACACCATTATTAAGTGTCAGGTTCTGCAGGCGCTTTCTGCTTTATTAATTTTTTTTTGTCGCCTCCAGGGGCTGTTTCACAGGCACGATTTTTACATGGAAAGCCAGCTAAACTTTCTTTTCTTTTTTTTTTTTGTGGCAAAAGTATAAAATAAGGATCTAAACTTGCATAAAATTTGCAATTCTGGATCCAACTTTAATTACACTCAATTAAGATCTTAAACTACACAAAATTCTCTAAATAAAGTTCTAATTTGATGAAAAATTAACTTGTCATCAAATGTTTTATGCCTTTGTTAATGTCCATTAGTCTCTCACTCAACTAGAACGATGATTGAAAAAAACATGCTAACTTCTTATCTTTAATTCACCTAAAACAATTTATGTGGTGTTCACATGAATTAAAAAATGACAATCTAGCATTTTTTTTTATGTCATCATTCCACTAGGGTGAGAGACTAACAGATATTAACATAGTCATGCAATATTTGATAACAAGTTAATTTTCCATCCAATTGAGATTTTCTTTTATGGGAAATAGATAAATATATTAAATACTAAAAAATTACAATAAAATCTCAATCTCATGGCATATAGCCAAAATTAGAATAACCTAAAGACAAAGTTATAAGCATAACCTACAACACTAGTAACAAACTTAAACTATACACATTGCGGATATAGACAATTAAGCAAAAAAAGCCATTTACAACTAGATATTGAAGTTACAATTGTTGTATAGACTAAATAGGGCTACTAATGTGAAAAGGGGAGTCACTGTAAGCATTAGAACTATTGGACATCCTCAACTATTTAACCAACTTCTTAAGGAGAGCAAGAGATTCTAGCAACAAACAATCCACAACCCACAAGTTGCCGCCCTACTTGTTCTTAAAGAAGAACAACCAAGAGAGGTATAGGCCTTCTCCTAACAAGCACAAGGCCCCCAAGTTGCCTTTGTATTCCCCTAAGTTGCCTTCGTATACTCCCGATCATGTTCCCATCTTTGTCGATCCTCTTCAAACCCATGTTGTCGAAACTCATTAAGGGAACCAGAGCCCTTTTGTTGGCTTGAAAATCAGGCTTCCCACGTCGACCATAGCTAGCCTTACCAACAGCATCCCTTTCCTTCGCCAATTGTCTAACTGATCGGGAATTGATGTGAACCAGATTCACCAAATTTGACTCCTGCCAAGATCTCATATGAGGAGATACACCAAAGTGAGATTCTTGCCTATTAAATAGGAGAAACCCACTTCACGGCAAGATTAATTTCAATCGCATCTTTCAAAAATCAATAGATGTAAACCTTAGAAAACCTAAAAAGTCGTGGTCAAATACTCAAATCCACCCCCAAAGTATATTGGTAGGGACGGATCCACCATCAAACAAAAAATGAGGACAAATCCACTTACAAGTTTTCAACTTGGATAAATCACCCCAAATTTAACGTATGACATCATCTAATATCAACAATTCGTTAATTTGTTATGTCGCTAATAAGTTCATTGTTAACGGATTGATGCTGTCAGATGACATCATTAAATTTGGGGTGATTTATCCAAGTCAAAAACCTTATAGGTGGATCTGTCCCAATTTTTTGCTCAGGAGTAGATCCGTTCCCACCATTATACTTTGGGGGTGAATTTTGGCATTTTGCCAAAAGTCATTGCCTTGTGGTCCCTTAGGTTGGAGTTTCCAAAGCAAGACATCAACAAAATGAAGGAAGAGATCAAGAGGAAGAAGGGAGGGGTAAGAAGAAATGAGGGATGAAGGAACTCTTCTGTCGGAGAGAAACCCTAAGGAGGAAAACCCATCACCATTGCTCTCAACTTCAAGAGCAGTGCACGGGAGAAACCCTAGGGAAGCCCCATCTAATTGAGATTTTATTTAAGAATTTCGTGTACTTTAGAACCTTAATTGAACATAATTGAAGTTTGAATCTAGAATTATAAATTTTGTACAAGTTCAAGTCCTTATTCTATACTTCTACCAACTTTTTTTTGCCCAACGGCGACTAGTGCACTCTGAAAGTACATCACGTGTTTCCGGTTCCATGGCCGGCGGGAATGCAAATTCTTAAAAAGCAAAATGTTACGCTAATATTGCGTGAATGGACAGGAAATAATACAAATTTTTTTTTATATACTAAACTTTCAATATTCGATAACCACATTAAATTTTTTATTAATCAAAAATTGAATTTGAATCGCATCAGATCTCATTTGGAAGAAACTCTTTCAACGTCTCGTTTCTTCATTTATAATATTTGAATTTAAAATTTTATTTAAAAAAATCGAACTCCTTTCACTCATACTAATAATTGTTGATGGAAATAACACAGATATTAAAGAAAGTGCCATGACATTTGCTTCTTTTCTTTCTTTTCGTTTTTTTTTTTTTCGTTTTTTCTGAAAAGCAAATAAAAAATTATGGTTCAATGGGGCTCAACCCGCTGGGGCAAGGTGGGACTAAGTGGCACCGTCCCGCTATTTTTTCAAATGCCAAGAGCTGGAGGTTTCGCTGCACTGTGAAACCAGCCTCACGCGTGCCCTCTGGCTCCACTCTAAGAGCCACGCGACACAACCCGCAGCCTTTGCTGAAGTTGCATGGCTTACTGAAGCCTTGAAGCCTTGAGGCCATAGAATTGCCAGATCTGGCCCAACCCAACAGGCTGAGCACACATTCCCTCACTCAATGCCCCAATTTGCGTCACGGGCTTGCGTTAGTAGGCGCGACCCGACCTATGACATTTATTGAAATAATATATATATATAGGCACACATAAAGTATTATATATATTAAATATTATATTTATAAAAAAAATTTAATTATTTATTATTTACTATTATTAATTAAAATTTATTTACATTTATTAAATTTTTTATTTAAAAAATTATAATAAATCTTAACAATTTAAAGTAAAAAATAAATGATTAAAATTTTATATAAATATAATATGTAAGATTTTTATATAAGTAAATTCATTTTATATGTACATATTTACTTTTAATAATTAAGATTTTATATAAGTATGATGTATAAATAAATCCTTTCTATATATATTTATATGAATCATAAAAAATAGTTTAGGGACCAAAAATTTATGAACTTGAAAGTTGAAGGATTAAAGTTAGCATTTAATCAAAAAGGAAAAGCCTAGATCCGACGGGTTTGGGCTGTTCAGACCCGAACCGAAATAAAATTTGGGGAGAATTCAAAACAGGGCGTTTAAGTGGTCCCAAGACCAGTGGCCGACCGATGAGGTGACGGTGGTTGCGTGGTCCATGACTTTTCGAGGTGCGATCAATTTATAGATGGATTAGTGTTTGTGTGTGTTATTTTTAAAAAATTAAAAAATATATATTTTTTTTAATTTATATTTTAAAAATAAATTATTTTAATTTTTTTAATAAATATTTATTAAAATAACATAATTTTAAAATAAATATTATTAGTAAAAATTAGAAAGTAAGACATATAAATACCATTTTCTGTATATATTATACTATCTAGCATTCTTGGCCCAGCCCATTGAGAGGAGACTGGAGACAATTGAGAACTTCCTCACTCAATACACTAATAATCTCTGCCCTCATCCCCGACAATCAGATCGGAATCGTTCTCCGACCTACCTCCTATCAATCGGTAAGATCGGGATTCCATCTCTCTTTGTTTTCGTTACTTATATTTCTCAACTATATTGATTCCAATTTGCTTCTGGTTTTATAGATCCTGTAATCTCTGTGAACTGATTGTCGCTTCGATTTACAATTTTGCTTGTATATGAAATTATATCATATAAAAGAAGAGAAATTTCTTTCGGAGTAAGATTGCAGATTGAGGGCTTTTTTTTTTTAGGTTGGATATGAATTTCCTTCTTTTTTTTTTCAACCTTTAATTATCAGCAAGTCTGTGTTAGATTTTAAGATTCAGTTACTACCTCCAACTTATTTTAGTTGTGGTTTTACTCTTTTTTTAGGCAGTTTTATATGATGTATATACAGAAAAGGGGTATCAGCCGTACTGCAAAAATTTAGGCGGAAATATATCTTAAAATTACATCATTTTAATAAAATTTTATTGAAAAAGATTAAAATATCCTAAATATTTTTAAAGAAGTAAGGATGAGGATATTTTAATCTTTTCTCTTGATACTTTATTAAAGAGATGTAGTTTTAAAGTATTTTTTTGCCTAATATTTTGTAGATGCAGCTGATAAACATTAATTGCATATATATATATATATATATATTTGAATCACAATTCAAAAGTGTTTTTTTATAGGTAATTCTTGAGTTGATGATTGGTGATACTGAGTTTTGAGGTTCTTTGTATGGTATGGTCAGTTTATCAGTTTTCTCCCTCCTATTGAAATGTGGAGTTTTGCATCCAAGTGCATGGCTGGAACTGTTGGATTAAAAAATGAATCTCTCAAGGTAAATCATGTTGCATCAGAATGTTCAGATGATGAGGCCTCTTCTGTACTTAGCAGGGAGGAAGGGTTGGAGTGCCCTATATGCTGGGAATTCTTCAACATTGTGGAGAATGTGCCCTATGTTTTATGGTGTGGTCATACACTTTGTAAGAATTGCATTCTAGGACTTCAATGGGCTGTTGTGAAATTCCCAACACTACCAATTCAGCTCCCTCTCTTCATCACCTGTCCATGGTGCAATCTCTTGTCTTTCCGTCTGGTTTACAGAGGCAACCTGAAGTTCCCTCGGAAGAATTATTTTCTGCTTTGGATGGTTGAGGGCATGAATGGTGATAGACTGAAGTCTCATTCTGCCTGCTGTGAAGTTCGGCAGCCAATTTTGTCATCAAATGGCAATTCTTCTCTGGGGAGCCAAGTGAGTCGTGGTACCCTTAGGAGGGGACAATATCTTCGTCATTCTGAGCCATCAGGATCAAGTGACGGCCACAGTCAGGTTGATAATTACATCAGTTTAGAGAGAATACAATCTTCTCTTAGGAAGTCCCTCGTGTTCTTTCTTCACCTCACTGCCAAGTTCCCACTGGTCATCATATTTCTTCTTATCATCCTATATGCAATACCTGCCAGTGCAGCTATCTTGGCCCTGTACATACTCATCACTGTTCTATTTGCTCTTCCTTCCTTTCTCATTCTGTACTTTGCATATCCTAGTTTGGATTGGCTCGTGAGAGAGATAATCAACTAAAAAGTTGCATTTATCTCCAATCTCTGTAATTATAGGTTTGCACTTTGGTCACCTTAGAATTTGACGACTTCCCTATGTCCTAGGCGAGGCTGCCATTATTGTTTCCTTTTGCAGTCTCCTCGACCCCATCTTCTCCCTAGGTTTTGACGCGTGATTCCTGCAGATTTGATAGCAAGTACGATTTCCAGACAGTATTAGATGTTCTCTAATGTGGGAGAGCTTTTGTAAGTTAGAATAGAGTTGAAACAGTTGTGTAAAGACTTTGAAACATCTGAATTACAGCTCTCCATCTCTGTATGGGAACTGATGTTCTTCCAATGTACATTATGTTTCTATTTACAGCTGTGATTCCAATCTGAAATTGAAATTCTTCTTCTGGGTATATTTCTTCTTGTTCTTCTTAATCTGTTTCAAAGGGGACTGGACCACTGGAGAACAGTTTTGGAAAGCTACTGAAAATTACATAAAATTAATTGAATAAGAGTCCTCTCTTGGTAGTTCAGATTGCACAAGACTGTAGAACAAGGGTTATTGAATGGGAGAGTGCCCTCAATATTAGGAAGTCTAATCCAATAGTAAGTATTACGTAGTTTATAGACTGCATGACACTTTTTCCTAAAGCAAAAAATGTGTTCTTTTGTCATTGCAAGCAACTCTTGACTTGTGCATGGTTTCATGCTCGTCTAGGCTTGGAGTCCAAAGAAGAAAAGAATCCCAAACAAGAGCAGCAAAAACAAGAGATTTTGTTTAACTAGTTCAACTAATCACATTCCTACCCTGTGGAGAAGGAATCGGTAGCAAAATGGAATGAAGAAATTCGTTTTCATAAAATTTATGATCCAACTTTTTGGTTGACGGGTCAACCTGCTCAACTAAAGCTACCGGAAAATGAAGACAATACTTTCTTTGTTTGTGGCCCTATGACTTTTAGACATTGTTGGGTTTTCTTATCTGATAATTGATTTAAAGAAAGCGTTGAATCTAAAGAATAAAGGATGAGGGATGAGAGAATCCAATGTGTTTTGGATTTTCCATTATTTTTCTTATTTTATTATTATTTCCTTTCTTGTTTTCAGTTGTCTTTTTCTTTCTTTTTCAGGTTTATCAGCTTTGGTTCCAATGTGTTCATAACCCATAACTTTCTGAAAAGCTTAAAGGGCGTGCATCCACAATTGATGCAATGTTGTTGCTGCCATCTTCACCTCCATCCTAGAAATGATTAAAGGGTACCAACCTTTTTCCATGTACAGAGAAGAAGAAGAAGTTATAGGCTTTTTCTTTAGGGAAAGTCAAATCGGTCCATCCTTCCAGTTTGTGAGATGCCATTAAGTAATCATTAAGTAATTATTATAGAGCTTGTCTATTCTTTACCTTTAGAATATAAGATAAAAAATTATTATTAGGTAACAATTATGATTTTTTTAAAAAGTAAGGTTTTATATTAAAAAAATAACTTTTAATTTTTAATATAAAATTAACTAATAAGAATCTAACACATGATATTTATAATTAAAATAAAAAATTAACTTTATTTTTAAGATAAAAAATTATTATTATTGTATAATTAATACTCCTTATCTTATATTTTTAGACTATAAGATACATAAATCCATTATTATAAACTTCATTTTTCCTTGGATATAATTAATATGGCCAAGTAGTCAAGGACTAAGCCAATGCTCGAACTCAAAAAATCCACAATTTCTATCAAATTTTAACATCAATAAAATCCGTATTTTACTAAAAATATTATAAAAAATTAAGGTGCCATAATAATTAAAATATAAAGAATAATAAATTGTGACATGATATAACTAATTAAGTAGTAATAAAATAGCAAACTAAAGTTGAATTGAAGTCATTAAACTAACCTCTAAATATATTTTCAACCATAAATTAAAAGCCCTTCTAGGAGTCATGTCTTGCCGACAAATGTTAACAATAATAGCCATGGAATGTACAGGCCGGGGAGATGAATTCTGACCCTCTGAGTTTCATTCTATTTACACGAAGAAATGATGTGACGAGATATCTAATATTTTTTGTTAAGGGGAAATTAAATTCCCCTTTTTTTGTGTTTAAATATTTTGATATTTTTTATTATTTTTATATTATATTTTTTATAATTTTATTTTTTATTTTATTTTTTATGGTTTTTATTTTATTTTTATATCTTTTTATTTTTTTTATTTTAACATATACTTCTTTTTTCGTTTTTTTTTTTGTTTTCTTTTTTATCACGTGTTTTATTTTATTTTGAGTCTTTTTTGCGTTTTTTTTTTATAGTGGAGAATCCTTTAAACATAAATAAACAAGACTTACATACTCATCGTATAGCTTTAACTAATTAGTATAAGAAATGATTAAAGAAATCAGTTAGTTTAACAAATAAATAATTGTTTTTTCTCCTCCCATTCTCTCTTAAAATTTTTAGTTTCTTTCTTGTCAATTACTCGTGAATTTTGCAATGTTTGTTCCTGCGTGTTTTAATATCCCATGACTTCTTATTCTCATGAAGTTTGTATTTCCTAGCACTCAAAAAACATGTCTAAACTAAAAAATATCTAGCAAATCAGTATGATTGTTTTAGGGGTTA